CCGCTACGTGGAAGGGTTTTTTTTGGGTGGAGGAGCAGCCAGAAGCTAGCCAACAGGACTCCGCTATATACCGAGGTGGGTTTTAAAAAGATTCTTAGACTAAGCAGGGCCATGAACAGTATTCTTAGGTCGGTTATTACCGTATACGTTATCTACAAACCGAGGTAACAACACCAAACCGAGGTCACATAATGGCAACCCCTGCACAGTTTAAAAACCGAGGTCGGTTCGTTTATCCCAAGCTCAGTTAATACCGTGGACGTTACGTGGACATCAACCGAGGACAGTTTACCGACAGTACATACACTACCCGAGGACAGATTTTTTCCCGAGGTTGGTTGCCCAGAAACAAAAACTGATCCGATATATCAACCAACTGTCGACCGAGTATCAACTGTCGACTGATATATCGGTCGAGAGTACCTATAGCAAACATGATCCAGCTTTCCAACGTATCGAAAAAAATTTCGTCAATACTTCGCACTTAAAAACTCTACCAGAGTCTTACTCCTTCACCAATCCGAAGCGTCCCAAAAGGCATCATGGATAGCCCATGAAATTCTCAAACTTCAAGCGCGGAAATCTTGACGATCTTCTTACACTTTTGCACCTCTCCCCTGGATAGGAAGTGACACGCAGAAGACACGATTACAACGCACTTTGATTGGAAGAAATAAAACCGCATTGTATTGGTTATTATTAGGTGTGAGGGCATAACCACAACTACAACGCTACATCCATAAATTACATCCGTATTCTTCGAATAACTGGGGCCATCCCGGGAACTGGTACAGGGTTGACCATTCCCAGCATTCGTTTGGACGCAGTGTAAGCAAAGCGTCAACATTCCCGTGGGGAAAGCACTATATAACATCGTCCTAAACCAGATGAGCCCACGACATAACAGCGGCATCTTGTATGAGTATCCGCAGGTTACAACGTGACTTCCGCTTATTCTTGTTAAAGCGTATTTTACAGTGTACTCATGGAATAGGAAGTGCGTTTGAGCCAGTTTCTGGCAGATTTGAACAGAAAAGCGGGTCTTTTGTTCGAGTGTAATGACATTTTGATCGATGGCGCTGTTAACGAAATGTTTGGCTGGTTCGTAAGTTGTCGACCTGGTTTCGGTCGATCTGATTAATTGACAACACCCCTAAGGCAATACATATCATCGTCCCAAACCAGATGAGTCCATGACACGTCAGCGGAATCGTACCGAGAGTCTTCTATTTTTCTGCTCGTTTCCGGCGAATCAAGAGACCGTGACCTGTGTGACTGACGATAAAGCGTCGTATTCTTCAATATTTTATTGCGAAAGTATTCTTCCCATAACTTTTACAAACTAATTTCTGTCTAGATCACATATTTAAGAAAAAATCTATCCTGTTATAAAGGCGTTAAAAGGAGGATCGACACTTAAATATGACCGGCCCAATAGTTTCGGTCGATGTTATCCTCTGACCTCGCTATCATCGACCAAAAGCAGATTCAGGTCAAAGATCATTTGCATAACTTTGCACTGTAAAATCTTTTGATTGGAACAAACATACAGTTCTTTTCTGTTTGTAATAAATTATCTTTACGTTTTATTTGACCATGATCTCTTGGTTTTTGTTCAACATCTTATTTGCTACTAATAAATATATTTGCCAAGGGGTGGTCCAGTTAATTATTTAACACTCATGCATTTATGTTTTGCGGCTCGCAGGTAAATATTGGCGGGAAATCTAAATGTTTGGTAGAAGAACAAACATGGCTGATAACAGTACACCTTGGGCTTCAAGATGGACCGTACAGTTTGACCCTTATTCCGGGTATGTTAACGATGAAAGCAGCGCTGACGAACTCATAAAACAGTACGAGATAGCTACGACGACACGCTTCACTGTATTTAAACAAACAGGAGGATTTTCAAATTGCAGTAGGCTGGGTAATTAAGCTCACATGTAAAGATTTACAAAATAAACCATACTGACAGTAAAGTAAAGTGAAGTATAACTTTATTTAGACACTATAGGTATTTAAAGCCAGGGACGCGTGAGATCGTGTTATTAACATGAAATATAGATAAATCAAAATAAAAAAAGGGATTTAACTTTTTTCCAATAATTATTGATATCTTAAGAATACATGTACACATCATTATTCTTCGGTTTACACTGGTCAGTTAGACTTTCAAAATTAACATGTAATTAAAATTAAACTTAGCTTCAAGTGTCAATTTACTGTGAGCCTGCAGCAAGAGTTGGCAAGAAATGCTTAATTAATTAACATCAAGCTTAAAGTGTCAAAACCCTACTCAGTGCTATTGACACACAGCTGCCAGCATCCCCATCCATTACACCAGTCCTTGGGCTACATCTGGGTGGGGCAGGCTTGATTTTGAGGCCCTCCATTTTAAGCACCCATGTGTACATATGTATGTATGTGTTTGTGTACATGTATTGTATTGCTAACTTAGCTTGGTTCCTCTTCTCACATAAAAGAAAATGCAGATAAAAATGCTAAGAACCACCGTATACAATGGGCTGACTCACAGGAGATGACAGGATGCAGACTAAGTTTTGATGGCATCCCATTCCAAATTGTGGGGGTCAAAGTTTTAGAATGCCAAAATGGGCCAGACAGATATAAGGCACTCAAAAGGAAGGAGGCTCAAAAGAGACTACAAAAAGATGTAAGCATGCATAATAATTAACTAAATAAGAATGTAAACAAGATGATATTATTACTTAAGGACTCCCAAAGAGGATATCATATATAGGGCATTACATAGTTATTGATTTACCTTCACCTATTTGCTCTTAAGCTAACAAGGTGGTAAGTCCCAACTGATTTTTCTAAGCAAGTTGGTGAGCTCTCACCTCTCCCTCAGGGCTAATAGCAGGCAATAATGTTTTCTTTTTTACCACTTGCAAGTAAAAGGACATATCACATTTTATTTGTTAAAATAAGCAAAGTTGCAAAAAAGGACCACTGTGACTGCAGTTTACAAGGTAGGAATCAAGTACTATTTTAAAGAATACTTTTCATTACTTCTAAGTTTATTGATAACTTGACTATTCCCATATGACTGCTCTATCTAACAATCCAATAAATCTATATGGTTTCAGAAGGAGAATGCTGATCACCGCTATAACAACACCAAACAGCGCTTTATAGTACAGGATACGAAGAAATGTGACTGTCCAGCAAAGATCCACCTAAGGAAAATAATCAAGTATCCTGAAAATAGGGTCAGTTTATTTTAATTATTGAATAAGGGTTCAGGGGGCACTACCATTAACATGAATGATCACTAGCCTAATAAAGGGTGCTTAATCCTAATGGGCCTTGTGTTACATGTAGGTGAAGTGGACATATGATAAGACAACCTGGACATTTCGTTGTGCAGAATTGAAACAAATTTACCTGAAATGGAAACAGAGTGAATATTTTAGAAACCAATTTTGCGAATATTATTTTAATTAAAACATTGTATCGTTAGATTTCAGAGAACACAAAGAGTAGAAGGGAGACAATGTCAAAATTTCTGAGAACATCCCTAGAGTCAGAAAAGAAGCAAACAATAGCTACAGAGGAGCGTATTTACATATTACTTCCTAAACCTACGGATCACTTATTTCACCCCATGGGGAGGGTAAGTACTTGGCCATCAATTAAATTTTTTTTGGAATCAGGAAACTGAAGTTTGGTGGGGAATTTAAGGTGACTTAACTTCACACAGATCATCAGTCTACTGTAGACTGTGGTGCTTCCACTGTCATGTCGAATATATATAAAGAATGAATAAAGATTATACATCACAACAAAAGACCACTAAAATTTACTACATGTAGAGCTTCTTTAAGCTACACTGGCACTCATTCCTCAAACTCAATGTCAAGACTATAATATCACAATTTTATCAGAGAGGGATTTGCACTGGCACTGTTTTAATGGAATGCTGTCATGGACTTTTTAAATGGATTTTCTTAACAAATACAGTGTTCAGTATTCTGTAATTATAACATTCTGTAACTATTACTAATGTCGATAGTAATGTTGGTATAATTTGCATTATTATTCATTCAAAATATTCCCTGTTTCTGAAAGGTTAAAACCACTCACATATTTCATCATAACCAGCTGCTGTTGACCAAATTTGGAAAAAATTTTCTCATATTGAACCAATTATTTTTCCTTGTTCTTGAGTTTGTGGTGCTTTAATATCATGATGAAAATTGCCTGTAAGAATTTCATGGATGATACTTATAGACCCACATTTAATCCATAGGTTATATTCTACAAGTTCAATTGAAATACTTAACATTTAGGAGGAAGCTCAAGCTGAATATTCGAATGTTGACCGTCGGTGTATTGTCATCACACAATCATCTTAAAATTGTGAAATATGTACATCAATTTATTTAATACAAGTTTGAAGGCTTATCATGTGATAAACTTCTGATTAAGTACCTCTTCAGAAATTTCTGTACATATAAGTTTAACACAAATGCAATTAAAATTAATACTTATCTTTCTCGAGTATTTTGATGTCATTGTTCTTCTGCTCACTTGGCAGCTATGAGGCTTAGGTCGATGGTGTGTAGGATTTCCAAGAGGTGTTGCCAATTAATCAGATCGACCGAAACCAGGTCGACAACTTACGAACCAGCCAAACATTTCGTTAACAGCGCCATCGATCAAAATGTCATTACACTCGAACAAAAGACCCGCTTTTCTGTTCAAATCTGCCAGAAACTGGCTCAAACGCACTTCCTATTCCATGAGTACACTGTAAAATACGCTTTAACAAGAATAAGCGGAAGTCACGTTGTAACCTGCGGATACTCATACAAGATGCCGCTGATATGTCGTGGGCTCATCTGGTTTAGGACGATGTTATATAGTGCTTTCCTTCCCGTGGTTCTCCAGTGCGAAGCAAACTGTCGTTTTGCACCTGGTTTTGTGCGGAAGCATTCGATAGCACAAAGTCCACCCCTTTTATAACCCATACTTGAACATGTTGGGAGTTGGCATTTTGTATTTGTGTGTTCTCTCGGCCTCGTCGAACATAAATGGCGGACTTGTCGGTGAGATACCTTTTGAAGAGTTTCATTTTAACTTAAGTGTACTTTATAGTCTTGATATTAGGGAATTCAAGTTTTCACCACAGCGAGGCTTGGCAAAACATAGCTTTCGAATTAACTTTTGTCTCTCCTAAGTAATTGACGAGTGGCTCGATGTTTTCACTGTCGCTAACGGTGCTAGATTTTCCTTACAGCATGGCAAGGGAAAGCGGCCTACAGTTCGAAGTCAGAAAACGTGAATAATTAGTCATTGGGGTTACTTTTTCGAATAGTTGAGCGATGTCGTTCGCGTTCTTGTTTTGCCGAGGACGGCCAGGAAACTTATAAAGTTATAAAACACACGAGCTGAGTCATTCGGTTCATGAAATCTTTTATTTCGCCACCCTCTAGTTGCCATCGCCGTCGTAGTTTTCTTGGATCATGTGTACTGCGGGTGGTGTCTGCCGATGTATCGTTTGACGCATCGGTCGATAGTCGGTCAATAAACATATCAACTATTGATCGAGACTCGGCCGATATACCGACCGCTAGGAAGCCTGTAGACTAGGTGTAATTTTTCGCGTTCTGCTGGCGGAGAAAGACACTCGAGTAGTATAAGGCCTGGGTTTTATCTTGGTTCGAGACCCCCAGCAGAGTAATAATAATAATAATAGTAATGACTTTATTTATATAGCGTCTATATCACTAATTGCTCTAGGTGCTTAACAATATCTCAAAATGTATTAAAAAACACAAAAAATCTAACAACGACATATATAAGCATGGAAATTAAATAGAAATATATTTACAAATCAAAAAAGGCTTGGTGAATTAAATATGTCTTTAAGGGTTTTTTGAAAGAATTCAAGGAATTGGCATTCCTTAAAGATGCGGGTATGCCGTTCCATAATTTAGGTCCTGCAATAGAAAATCTTTGATCACCTTAAGACTTAAGCTTAGATCTCAGGACTTGAAGTAACTTATTCGAACAAGAACGCAAAGAGTAGGAGCTGGTACAAAAGCTGAGCAAATTGGATACATAACTTGGTGAAAGTCCATTGATCGCCTTATATACTAACAATAAGATTTTATAAGTAATACGGTATTCAACAGGCAACCAATGTAAATCTATTAAAATGGGAGTTATATGTTCATACTTCTTTGTGAATGTTACAATGCGCGCTGCCTTATTCTGAACTAGCTGTAGGTGGTTTAAGAGAGCTTTAGGTTTCATGCTATTCAATTGAAGAGTGGTAACACGGCGGCCGATCTACGATTAGAATGTTCACATCCTCGAGGAAGATAAGATCGATTTCTAGCCTAAATTTTTCAGAAGACGCTGTTTTTTCGCAGATGTCAGATTTACAGTTGAGGTGAGTGTTGTTTTTGTGTTGTTTTTTCAGAAATAAGCTCTAATTTGCTGTAGCTGCGAATTTACAAACGCATGCACCATTAATTAAGAGCGTTCAAGGAAAATGCATTTTTTTGGTTTACTAAACTAGGGTTTTAATTTTCTATTTAGTATACTTGGGAAAGTTTCATTCTCATCAGTATGGGATGAGGGTAAAATTTATAATCCTCGATGTGTAACCTTTCCCATAGAGTAGATCGCATTTGTTTGTTTATCAAATCTGAAAACAGTGGTATGTTCAATCCCAAGTCAAAAATTTCACAGTAATCTGCAGCACAACACTTTTCTAGGCAACATCAAAATGAGACTGCTGTGAGTCCTATGAGCTTCAACAAAGAGAATTTATCAATTAAGCTACAATGCTTTTACTTTTTGAATTAATGAGGAAAATAAAAGCTATACTTACACAGTTGTGTTCTTACAGTCATGTACAGTGAAAAATAGATTTTGGCTGAATTGATCATGAGAGACTCGTCAAAATGAGTGGTCGGTTTTAACCTTTGATGACAAAGGCTTAAGTACCATTCCAAAGGCTAGTGATATAGCCATGATCGAAAAAAAAATTTGTTTTTAATCATACTTTACAATATTGTTTATTATACTTTTTTTTGTGAGTCCTATGAGCTTCAACAAAGAGAAGTTATCGATTAAGCTACAATGCTTGTACATTTCGAATTAATGAGGAAAATAAAAGCTGTACTTACACAGTTGTGTTCTTACATGTACAGTGAAAAATAGATTTTGGCTGAATCGATCACGAAAGACTTGTCAAAATAAGTGGTCGGTTTTAACCTTTGATGACAAAGGCTTAAGTTACATTCCAAAGGCTAGTGTTATGCCCATGACCAAAAAAAAAATTTTTTTTAATCATACTTAACAATATTGTTTATTATACTTTTTTATTTACAGCAAATTCTGTTGACATCCGACAACACTGGAATCTGGTGAAGTGTTGTTGGGTCTTATGAAGAATCAGAATAAGCTGGAAGGTATAAATCCTATGATAAATATTATTGAACATAACTGACTGAGTGACCATCAGAGAAATGCTTACATGTGACTGGATTGGCTACGTAGGTGTCATCTAATTATCAAGAGATGGCACCTGGAGCTGATCAATGTTTTGAGGTGGTTTAACTTTGACCTGTTGTTTGAGCTTGCCTTCTGATCAGTAACTGCAATTTATACTACTGATTAAGAATGACTTTCAACTTGGTTATGAAACTGAGTTAGATGGTTTTTTTAATGATCTTTTCACCAGTATAAGAGGGCTGTACATGTATTCTGTAAGTGTCTGTTAGAAAACAGAGTGATATGGTTGAATCTTCAGGCACTACATTTAATTTGCTGATGTGTAGAACAACCTAGAACTTGCTTGTTTGTTTTTCAAATACATTGGTGTCTGCTCCCTTAGACTTTGAATACTCTTTTAAAACCTGCCCAGCATTGGTTGGTGGGACACTTGCCTCTTGTCTGTTGAATGGTACTCCTTGAGAGTGACATCCAGCAGCAGCTGCTAAAGGTCCTCATCCAATGTTGTGAGAACATGCAACCTCTTTTGTCACTTTGGTGTATTATTGACCCTTTCCTTTGCTTTATTGATGATATTGAAGCATTCCACTGTTCTTTGCCTTGCAAATGATATGCGCTGAGCCAGGTGAAGGCCTACATAATTTTTTTTTAAAAGAATTTTCACATTCTTTATTAATTTTATCTTTGCTTTACAGTTTTTTTCTTTGCATTAACAGGTGATTCCTACTTTGTTAACCCAGCCTCAGGAACCAGGGATATTACTTCGCCAAAGGACTTTCCCAATCACTCCTTGCATACTTTGTCAAATTCTTTGTAGATCACTGTCCCAAAGTTTTTCACCTCCTTCTGTGTTTGTTTGGAAATCTTTTTTGCCAGCCAGTTCTTTTGTTTGATTTTTAATATCTGTAAATGGCTCCCTTTTGTTCACCACACAGCATGTATTTTTCTTATAAAAGATACTCTCTACTGGAGTTGTTTTAATAAAGCACTATGCAGGGTGTTAATGCAAAACACCATTAAGTTTACAAAAGTCTCTTTGCAGGGTTGATTTACCTGGGGCAGTTTGCTGCCAGCTTTCAATGGTAAATGTTTTTAGCTACTTCCTCTATTTTTCAGTGGTGACCACTGTGAAATTAGGTGATCAGTGGCCTTATAATTCTTTAGGAAAAAACTTATCAATGATCGGGAACTTTTTTTGTAGTTGATGCTGCTTTTTTCTTTCAGTAAGTATTCGGAAACCTTCAAAAGGTTTGTAGAGAAAAGAAGCACTTTTGCTGACATGTTGATGAAGATATTCTTTGAAATTTTCCTTGTACAGCCAATACCTCTCTTCCAGATGCCAGCTTATGCCTTTTCTGACTCATTATCATATCTTGTTATTTTTTCTTATTTTTTGGCAAGGGAAATTACCCGCGATAACTTAACATGAGCAAATCAGCATGTCAAACTGAAATTTGAAAAACTGACTGATTGTTGGTAAACTGACTTGGCAGCCAAGGCAAGAGAAACATTTGAGATTTTTTTTGTAAAAGCTGTTGTATATTTGATTCCACGGGAAACCACAAGCCATACAATATGTTCCATGAGTGGAAATTGCAAAAAAACAAAAACAAAAGCAACTATAAACAAACGCAAATTATTAATCATCATTGAAGTATTTCAGCGTTCCTCGAATTACAAGAGTTGCAAACATACTGTTTTAGAGTGCCAAATAATAAACTAAGTCAGTTATTTAAGCAGTATCACTTTTCGCTGCAGTGATTGTCCTATGACTGATGTTGACTGCTATATTTGATTTGCACCTTTGTAATCAGGGGTGTAACGCAATAGTCAAGTCTTATTCAAGTATTATTAATGAAAAGAAACAAAATGGCGGCATTTTTCGTAGCCCTAAAAGGAGTAATCATAATGTACCTGCTGGTGCTGAAGTTTCTGTTTCACGCAATGGTCTTTTGAAAAATGGAAGAAGGTGTTGATAAACTTTGTCTTCATGTTCGGAATGATGTGTCAAGTACAGTTGATAACAAACAAAATGCCATTAAGTTTACAAAATTCTCTTTGCAGCTCCAAAAAATCTCAAATCTCTTTTTGAAGGAACGAAGGAAATTCATTCTAAATGTAGATGGCTAGAATTTTTACTGAGTATTTGTTTTATTCATTGGTCAGTGAAGAGTGTATGTAAATCTTACCAATTCCAATAAAAACTGATTGAGTAGCCTTTTGATCAAGTGACCTGACATGTCACTTTGGTCGTTGATATTGTTGCCATAAGGTAAAAGTTCTTAGGGAAAACTATCGTCCACGAAAGTTTCAGCACAATCGGCTGTGCATTTGTGGAGATAGAGTTGTTTATTTTCTTAAACTACTTGAGCAAGTGAAAGGTGAGCGCGATAGGCATCTTCTGCGCTATTTTATCAAGTGATCTTCTTCTACTGTATGGAGAGCTTTAATTCCTTATTCTTATGTGCCTCAGTTTCAATCATCTGATCATTGGTTTAAATGTAACACGTGACAGCTTGATTTGCTAGAAAACATAATCATGCTAAGCTGCAACACACGGCAAGCTTTCTCTTACAACCCATACTTGACAACACTTGAATTCACATAATTTCCTCCCCTTAACATAGCTTTTGTGACAAATGTGTTGCTTGTAAGATGAGAAGAATTAAAAAGATTCCTGAAAAGACTGTTTTCAACCACAAGTTAATCAGTATGATTTCCCGTCCACATGAAGCCTCACATTATGTGTAACTTTCTACTGTCAGTAAACTGTACTGGGACACCACATTTGAGTAAGTGCACATCAGCAGGGTGCTCATAAATTATGTTTACTAGCTCAAGTGTATATGGCTTACTAGTGGTGAACCCAAATTTATCTCAAACCCAGAGTCTTCTCAGCTTTGTGCAGGTGTTACGCTTGCGTTGTACCAAAACTTCTGTAGAACAAAAGCAATGCTACAATGTAGGTGTACCCCAACTGAAGTTTTTTACAAATGCTAAGAGCACCTTTAGCAGTTACACAGTCATGTGATTAACCAAACTTTCTCAGTTTAATGGCTTACAAAAAAATATTATAGTCTTAGATGGAGGCCAGGACATCTTCCTTGCAAATAATGAATCCCCCAGCAGTCTTAAGTTTGCAACTGAATCCTTATCTATAACAGGTTTTTAACATGTGTAAAAAGTACATGTACTTCTAGATAACTTGTGCCTACCAGTAACCTCAAGGCATTTAAGGTGTTCTGGGTCAGATACCCTTAACGATACTCGTGACCTTTCTGCTAAAGATTATAATGTGTAAGCAGTAGGCAGTGGAATGCTGAGCTCTGCATTGTCACAGAATGTATAATTAGACAATTTATTATATTATTTCATTGATCTGAAGACTTTTTTATTTTGAGTGTAGAATTAAATTAAATACAAGAAGAAATTTTAAAATTTTTTAAGTCTCTTGAGAAGAAATTAGTCTTAGTTACAGTCTGCAGTTTTTTTACCTGATGTCTTGTTTCTTTTTATACAGCAGGTCAGGTAAAACTGATATCGCGTTACAGTGGAAGCAATAGGACTGTAACCCTTGATTCCTCTTTTAATTTCTCGTGGAACTACAGTGGTATCTTGCGCAAAGTTGAATGGGGAACAAAAGATGGAGATAAAATTTCAATAGATGTCCGTCTGTTCACCCTTGATATAAGTGAGCATCTCACCCCTAATGTATCTCAGTACAATGGCCGTCGTTTTGCCAGCTGGAATCAACAGTCACCTGGTCAAGTCACGTTTACTTTAAAGCATATTAAAGCGGTTGATAACAGGTTTTTCATCTTCAGATTTGTCCCAATGAACGCTTTGGCTTCAGATGTGTATGATGTAGTGCAATTAATTGTGAGAGGTAAGAATTTTTATTATGTGATGAATTGTTGTTTCATCATGGAAGATTGTATGAAATTTTGGAATGAGCAAGTAATGCCTCTGAATTTCAACAATTCTGATAGGAAATAACTTCAATGCACACTGCAAACAAAGAGAAAGTGTTGTCATGAAAAGTGATGTTGTGGGTTTTCCCTTGAGAGAGCTGTTACAACAATTTCCTCCTTAACAGTGTTGGTTATAGGAAAATTTAAGCATGAAAAGACGGTCTCTAGAGTAGAGAAGGGTGTGTGAACAAGACCTAAGAGGGTTTTCAATTTTTGATTGCTTTTTTTAAAAAAATGAATAAACCAAAGAAACTGATTAACTTGCTTCTGTTAACTGATTCCCAATAAAAGTATCCTCTCTTAAGGATGTGGTAAGTCCTGGGGGGTGTCCTTTGGTAAGAAAATCATTAAAGCACCATTGAAGTATCACCACCATAAAGTATATATATCAATGGAAAGGTTATGGAATGTGTTATCTGGCCAAAATTGTTCTGTTTTAGCTTGATCTAATTTTGCAAACTAGGCATATTTCTTTGAGCAAATTAATTACATGACAAATACAAACACACAAGTAAAAATTCTGTTCAATTTCAATCGTGAAGGGTTGGTTTTCAATAGCGTGTGGGAATTTTTCAATATTCCAATTACAGTCGAACCTGTATTAAGTGGCACCATATTAAGTAGTGGGTTGTCAAAGTCCAGAAATTTGTTCTCCATAGTTACATAATTTTTACCTCTCTTAAGCAGTCACCCTTAACTGGGTCCTAACAGCCTGTTTGTATTGTTTGTTTTTATTGTCTTCCACCTGTGTTGAATGGTCACTTAAAGTGGGACCACTCAAATAAAACTAAGAGTTATCTTTTACATAAAATTTAATCCATATTTATCTCCTGAAATCAATATTGTGGTAGTATGATTGAGTGAATTTTTGTACATTAAGTTGTCAATTATGGCATAAAATGATAATTTTACAATTTCTTTACAATACCCTATTCTGTGGAACCTGTATTAAAGGAACAGTGTCATGGTTGGACATGAGCATCAAAACACATCAATTCTAAGAACTATTTCAATTGTTCGCCATCTTGGATTTTGAACTTCATATAAATATAAGGCTTGGAATGCATCAAAACAGATTAAAATACCCCTGTTTAGTGATCAACCAATTTTCCTTATGCTATATTTAAACAAACCTTTATTGATGGGTAATTTTAAGCTATGGACACTAAAGGTTTAAGAGATTCCATTCCAGAAGGGTAAGAGTTCACTCACTCTGAAAATTTTACCTTTCACAGCTGTTGTGGGGTAAATTAATTATGAAGGAGCACTTTTTACAATGTTTTTTCTGCTTCTAACAGAGGCATTTATAATAACTATGCTTAGGGCCCAGGGTATACAGTTTAAATGAGCAAAGTCCTGATTATGTGGCCACAGGTTGTGTTGCATCTGAACAAACATGCATCAAATGACAGTGCCTCACAATTTTTGGCTTGTTTTAATTTCTAGTATTGATATGTATATTAAGACGAAACCTGCTGTGGACAAATACCATAATGCATCCTGTTTTTCAAGCTTTCACTTTGTCCAAGAAATGTGCAGAAATAGTACAATTTCATGGCAGAGAGTTGGTCAATGGTGCTACAAATAGGTTCAGTTCCTCCTTATATAGTTAAGTTATCATACTAGGAAAAAATTAATTTTTTCCCAATTTCCTGAAAATGTAACATCTATTCAAAAGACTCAATATCTATCAACTTCTGACAATTTTATTTTGGTATCTTTTGTACCTCAGAAGATGTAAAGCAAAAAGTAATTTGAGACTAGAATGAAAGGCGTGAGATTGATGACACTTCATGTGAACTTCATCTCATCACCTAATTGACAATTTCCACTAATGATTTACAATGCACACTGAACAGTTTTGTACAGTTCCAAAATCAGCCATTTGTCATCGAGTGTACTTATACTAGTTCTTTCTGAAAGCTAGAGAGATTGTTTTTGTAATTCAAGTGTTGTTTTCAGGCTGCTCATCATGTCCATAAGTGACAAGTCTCTTTTGCTGTTCTGGAAGAAAGAAAATTGATTTGCATTGGAGCAGAAATGTTGTTCACAGATAGTGATAGGGGTTCATACCAGACTTAAGAGAATGTGTGGCCAGAGTCTATTTCTGTTGAAGTCGCAGTAGGAGCCTGTTTGCAAAAATATTGCCAACAATTCATCATCATTCGTGTAGCATTTCACTTTGAGCATTGATCATTGAAAAGCTGTGTTGTATTTGAGAGTGGTCTTACCTCTGCCTGATCTCTTTCCTCCTCTGTTGGATGGTTGAGGCACCTTCTATATCAACACAAACTGCGATGTATTCACGACTTCATCTTCTTGACCTAACTCTATACAAAATGTGTCCGCTCTTTGCCTTCTGGCTCCATGTGATTGGGTTACAGCCTTCACAGGCATGAAGTGGAAACACATGTATGTAAACAAACAGCAATGCCCTGAAAATTTTTGTCTGTGAAGTAGCTCCCTTTCTGAAGAAGAGACAGTACTGTTGGCAAGGGATATGGCTCGTGGTCCTTGTTGTACATGCTGACAATCAAACATTGTAGAAAATAACTCTTGATTGCTGTGCTCATTGAAAAAATAATTAAAACATTAAAATGAAATGAGAGAAAAACATGTATGATATCATTGAAGCAAGTGTACAATTTGATAAGTGCATGCCAAAATGTTTTGTTTATTTGTGTGTTTTGTAATATATTAACCTTATTACAAATGACAAGATGATGTCTTACATACTCACTGATCATAAAACAAGAAAAAAAATTATTTGTTTTATGAAGCAAGATGTTATGACTTTATTGTAAGAGCACTATCCATTATTTTTTTTTAATTTTAAAAACTAATAAGAAGTGTGTAAGCTGCATTCAGCTTATAAGTTTTGAAGGGTTTTCAATCATACAGATAAAGATAAAGAACATCAAATATCAGCAATGCTTAATAGTTTTTCCTTGGAACAGGAACAGAATTAAAAATATTTGTCTTTCTCGAGGTAAACTGTCTAAAACTTACAAAGGGCTAATGCTTGAAATGTCAGCTTTAAAGCTGTGAAATTTATTTTTTTTTATGATAGCCTCTTGGCTCCTAAATTTTTCAAAGTGGTAGCCAGTTCAAAAAAAGTTGGTCACCATTTTTAAAGAAAAACAAAACCATTTTGTTATGCTGTCAGCATTCTAGAAAGATCCTCCTAAATTAAATTAGGAAAAAATCTTTAACGTGCTACAAAGTGGATACTAGGATGGATGATATACAATGTTCAAGTTCACCTAAATCCAAGATGGTGTCTAGTTATTGATGGAGATGCACGACTGTGCTGTATTTTGGAAGCAAATTTAATGAGGAAGTTTGCCATGGATTTATCTTTGCAAATCTTTTTAATTAACTATATCTCTAGTTAAGGTTATGATGAAGCATTCTAGTCACCAATTTGGCAACTAATTTTCAGAATTTGGCCACCAAAGTGAAAAATTTAGTCACATTGGCAACTGTATTAGGCACAATTTCATGCCCTGGCTTGGGATGTTAAATATTTCCTAAATTTCCTCATGGAAAAATATGATGGCAAACTGACTATTGTCATGTGATACTTTGGCATAGACATGACACTCTTCTTTGCATTTGTTCCTTTCCTTGGTAAGGCTGCAGTAATGACACTTCAGGATGTTGGAAACACAAGATACATCAGCTATTTTTCTTTTTGCACTTTAAACAGAAAAGTATTTTCTTAACTAAGTGACACTAATAATGTCTATAGTGTGCCCTTGCCTCTGTGGTTGCAAAACAAACCGGCAGCTCAAGAGGTTTATATCTAGAGAGAGTGTATCTCTTGGTAAGGTTATGATGAAACTTTCTAGTAGCCAATTTGGCAAATAATTTTCAGGATTTGGTCGCCAAAGTGAAGAATTTAGTTGCAATGGTGCCTGTTCTAGGCACAATTTCATGCCCTGGGTAGTGAAATTCTCTCATTGTGTCACTTAAATTGTTCTTGTGAAGTCACCTGCGTAGCAGTCAGCTTTTTCATTCATTCAGCTGGTTGTGGTTACCTTTTTAGTGCCACTTTTTAGTGCCATGGTGTACTGCAAATAGTGAGGCACTGTTGTTATTGGTTTTGCAGTAAAAGGCCCCTCAGTAGTATGGTTGAGTATAGTCAAGAGTGGTCATTCAAATTATTTATTGATGTGGTTACGCATCCCTAACAATTTTCTGTTTACTTGTCATTCTGTCCTCATATGAAATGTAATGTAAACCTTGTAAAAAATCTTTTGAGTTATAAATCATTTCTTTGCTTTAAACAACAAATTTATCCAATTTTTTTTCAGTTCTTCATAGTTTCTTGGTGTTTCGCACTAGACACAACTATTCAGAACAAATTGCTAAAATCATCAGGCTCCTCATTCTAACAGAACTCACATTGTCCAAGATGGCGGTTGTTTGTTGTGTGCCGTTGTGTACCGTTGTGTTCAGTGTGTAGTTTCCTCAACGAATTTCTCACTTACCTTCTTTTTCATGCTCAATACACCTCACATTTTTTATTGAGGAGAACAAAGCTTTGAACTGAATCAAGACATGTATTCCAGAAGAATAGCTTGAAATCCTCCATTTTTTGAGGGAGCAAAGAATGATTGAATTGGAAACCACTGTGAACAGTATTGTCATCTTTGTCTTTAATGTCAGCCTACAAAGACTGCCTTGTGTTATTTAGAAACTAAAAGTCGCTATAGTGGATTTCCATTATGCATACTCGCCTTCGTGCGCAATAGCGACAATAGTCAGGGACAACAGGCATGAGTGAAACTCTAAACGTGGTCTACTGTGGCAAATTATTGAAGAATTGCGAAGACAAAAACGTGTAGATTCTGGTTTAAGAAAATAACATTTGTTTGAAAAGTATTATCCACGGATGGTAAAGATAGAGGATGATAGAAATCCAAAACCAGTTCCAATGATGATGTGAAAAGGTTCACCATTTTTTTCAAAATTTTAGACGTCACAGTGCACGCTTCATGGTAGAACCGTTCCTTTAAGCGCTCAACCAATATTATTAAGGGGTCACCAAGCCATTCCTTGTGGGTGACCTTATTACAGGTTTGCCTGCAGTTGCTCAGGTTTGCTTATCAAAATTTTACCATTATGTATTTAATCAGAGGCCATTGCAGGACATCAATTTCAAAACACAGAATTCTCTCAGACAGGTTTTAGGTTCATTTCTAGGGAATCTTTAGACCAACATATCACTCCTTTGGGTGACCACATGCCAATTTATGTCAACTTTGTGAAAACTGGAAATGGCTATGCCAATAGAAACAAAAAGGTGTCATATGGAATCTCGGGAGACTCCTAGCAAAAGATAATTTGCCCTTGGCAGACCTTTAGTTGAATTTCGCGGGCTGGTAATTTGATTTCAATATTCTTCATACCTTAAAATGCTTAAGCACACTGTGACAAAACTTGCTAATGGTTGCTGGTCTGTTGTAAGCAGCAAAGATTGTTTAAACCATGAGCCCTTCTCTGTTTCAGTTAGAATTTTTCAATTGCCTGTCCTCCCAAATTTCTCTAATTATTTGCGCTTAGTTCCAGGCTTCTTTTTTACTTTCATCCTAATACTCCTGTCCTTTTTATCTGCCTCCATGCGGACATGGCAAAAATTACCCTGTGCAACTGACATCAGATGCTTATGCAATTATAATTCAAGAACCAGGATGTTTTGTTGCAAAAGACCCCTTCTGAGTCATGTAGGGTGACATTATAATCGGCTATTCACATATTGTTGGCCCAAAGAATTCAATTTGAAGATATGTTTCTGCAAATATCTTGAGCGTTTTAAAATGTTACTAAACTCTTCCTTGGAAACTGTGACCTCTTGGAAAAATGAGGAATTCAACCAAATTACTAGTCACCTCCAATGAGGAACCATACTGGCTTGGCATTCTAGGTTGGTGCTTATGGAAGGGCGAGTTGTGTTTCAAGAGTGAAATCTTAAACATTTTACTTAAAAGTATTTTGATACATTTTGCCTGCACACCTGTAACACGTTATCACAATTACTGTATGTTTCAAAACCTCCTTTCACTGTTACGGCGTGGATCAAAAGCAAGCTGGATGATTTCCTTTATTGTAACCCTTTTGTTTTCCTTTTAGGTCCTCCTGTTGTTGAGATTGTCCCTCCTGCACAGTTCACTTTAAGGGGTGTTACAGCAAGTTTTACCTGTCACGCTAAAGGTTTTCCTTTGCCAGACATTGTATGGATGAAGCAGAATGGTTTGGTTGAAAATGAGATTTCTGCCAGCAGTGTCAATGTCCAAATAAAGCCCCTTAATGGTTCGTCCCAGTTAATCGTGCAGAATACTTCAACCGCAGACTCGGGTTATTATATCTGCAAAGCTTCAAACTATGTATCAGATACTGCAAGAGCCTTCCTTGGAGTTGTTGGTAAGTTACATCTTAACATGTGGAAACCCCTACGTAAACTGAAATAGCCTCGTTATTGCAACCTTAGTTCAGAAGCCAGTAATGGAAAATTGCAGTTTTGCCCTCTTGATTACAAGATTATTAATTGACGAAGTTATGCCTTTAAACCCTCCGTTTACTCAAATGGAGAACTTTGAAGAGGAATGTAAATTGAAAGGAAAAAAAGAAGAAGAAAAGAAAAGGGAAAGACCAAAAAAGTCAACATGGCCAGGGCTCGAACCTTAACCCTCCAACTAGAGAGGAGTAGGTATATTAATTGCAGAGGTAGATAAGGTGCGCAGAGCCTGCGAAGTTGAAAAGTTTTGTTTTTTAAAAATGACTTTTGATGCTCATTTAATACATGTACCTATTCTATTAATTTCTGCCCTGTTCTTGGCTGTCAGTTAACCTTTGTATAAACTCTGTTCTAGCCAAGTCCTTTTTTGTCACAATTTTGGCAGCGATAGGAGCTGCTTATAAACCCCTCAACATTTTATACCACATTGCAGTCAACATGCATTGGTCCTGGCCATCGAGGTGTCGTTACTAAGCTAGAGCGTGAGCCGCCCTCTGATGATTTAAGCAGGAAAAATGAACGCACGGAAAAAAGAGAGAAAAAATCTTATGATAGGACCCTACGTTCATCATCTTTACTTCTGAACTATATCGCCAAGGTTTGAAATTTGGCAGGGCAAAACAGCAAGGGAAAAAGGAAACTTTTAGCCGTAGTGTGCTCTTTAGAATGGAACGGTTCTCAAACAAAGTAATTTTACATTTTGGGTTGTGGAAAATATCATGACTTTGGCCATAAAACAGTTTAAATGGAAAATGGGAGAGTGCACAGCGATGGAAAGTCGCGTTTTTACTTCTATTAACTGTGTTCCAAATCCCACGGAAAAGTACCATACCAGCTACATCAAACTAGGCCTTCTCAAAGACCAGGCTCAAATTACATACTTAAAACAGGGATCGTGTTTGTCCTTGAGAACCAATTGAAAATTCGACAAAAAAAAAGGAAAAAAAATTCTTCCACTTCATTAGTATGAATCAAGTTACATTTATCGCTTTCACCGCCTTATTGAATTTTACGCTACCACAATGTGACGCAATCAGAGTGTGCACCCCGCCTACTCGTGTCCACAGGTGCACTCATGTACATAGGTGTACTTGTGTCCTTAGCAACTTTTGTGTCCATAGAGGCCCTTGTGTCTAAAGGTGCACCCGTGTTCATAAGTGCACTCGTGTCCATAGTTACATTTGTGTCTTCAGGTGCATTTTTGTCCTTAGGTGCATTTGTGTCCACAGACACACCCGTGACCACATGTGCACCCTTGTTCTTATGTGCACTCCTGTCCATAGGTGCATATATGTCCATTGGTGCACCTGTTTCCAGTGGTGCACCTGTGTCCAGTGGTGCACTTCTGTCCGTAGGTGTACACGTCTCCTTAGATTCACTCCTGCCTTTAGGTTCACTCGTGTCCATCTCTGTACCTGGATGAGCATCTGCACGGATACTTATCTGAACATGGATTGCCATTTTATTTTGAAAAATGCTGAATTTTTTTTAGTGTATTTGAAAGAAAAGTGAAGCACATCAATGGGTACCTTGAGGCAAATTGTGAGGGATAATTTGCGAAAAAACGTTTTTGAAAGAGGTTTCTTTACCCTTTTTCAAGATCCAGCTTCGAAAGAGGATTCTGGTGTTTGCCGCACAAGTTTTAATGCAACCAAGGGCGAGTCTGTCCTGATGTGCTGTCCTGTCAAGGGGTCTCCACCTCCTCAAGTTAGCTGGGAACTGCCTAATGGAACTCTGCTCGAAACAGGAAGCACTATTCTGCGTGTCACAGTCGAGACTGAGAATGACTTTGGACGCTACAGGTGCATTGCAAGGAGTCTGGAAAAGAATGTCCTTACAGCCAACATCACCATTCGTAAGAGAGGTGAGTACAAACTTAGAATTTAGGTAAAATGTGTATCACCTCCTCTCAGCGAGACATGAACACCAGAGAAAAAACCATCTTGAAATTTAAGTACAATTGGTATTTCAAAGATAAAGGTTTTTTACAACAACACCGGGCCTCGTCTCTGGTTGACTAACGGCAAAGCCGATAAACATGTTTAAAAAAACTGTCCGGGCAAAGTAAATGTCGGTATTACAGAAATATGCACACACCCAAAAAAAAATAAATAGACTTAAACCTGCCATACGATGGTGTTGCCCGGCTAGGGTAACGTTATTATTACGTTATTTTTAATGCTTTGATAGAAGTACTTGGCAAGATGTTTAACAAATAGAGAAGCCTTGACTGTGCTCTGTTCTGTTTTAAAGCACGCAGGAAGCGGCTTGAGCACAAAAGAGGTGTAGGGAGAAACACGAGACGTATTATATCGCATTCCAGGTTGATACCTATGCAAATATTATAGGTCCTCTTTGATTGTAATTTCTCTGTCAATGCGCGGACACTTTTGATTAGACCATGTACTTCAAAACAATCTCCTTAACATTATTCAATTCTTCGTGGCTCAATTTCAGTTTTGTCTCGAGCTAAGAAATGAGATACTATCTTAACAGATCTCAGAAGAAGGTTTTGAGTATCCTTCACGGTTGGTTCTTCTCTTTATAAGTGATCCTGTGTTTTAGAGGAGATATACGAATTGGCTGCTTTTTTTATTTCAGCCTTTTTTCACATTTTTAGCAAACGAAAAAGCATGCCTGAGATTTTTTTTGTGTTCGACGAAGGAGGTCGCCGTTCATAATCTTGGGGGTCCTGTGGTTTAACGAGTGACCCTTTTTGAGATTTTTTGTCGACTGTCTGCAGTCTCTGCGCCATTTTGAATGACGTCATACGTCATGTGCGCAACAACAATCGTGCATCTCGTGGTTTTCTCATTAGTCTAAGCATCGTAAAGCCGATACCTAAAGACTACGTCGTGGTTTTCATAATACTCTATGGATTCTAGTCTGTAAACCGGATATCTAATGACTATTCGTGGTTTCCAGAGTAGTCTTGAGATATTATTAGCAAAGCCTTAAAGGTATGTTCCACACTCTCTGTAAATATAAAAATGGTGTATTCCATTGGAGTTAAAGATTTAAATTGCAGCTGACATATAACACTCGGTTATTTTAATGTATCACAACAACGTGTGATCAATGCAGATGGCCACTGAGTACCACGACTCAGTTCATTTACGTGCTTGTTTGACTTGTTTGATTTGAGACCACAAAGGATCACTTGGCACTATGACCACAGGGGCAGATCCAAGAATTTCTCAAGGGGGGGGGGGGGGTTGAACACTATTGTTCAATTGTGTGGAAGGCGAGTGACGGCCCCGTGCCTCTGGCGCGAGCTCTTAAGGGGTCCGGAGCCATGCTTTGATTCTTTCTCAGTAACTGGGTTTTGGGCTTATTTAATTTTAGGGACACCTAAACATCCTCTTTCCGCTTACGTCTTTCGACCACCATTTTCCACACCAATAATAAGAGAAGAGAACAAAACACATCCGTCTACCTTACTCAACAGCACGGACATCCCGATTATTTGGTGCCACTCTACTTGAGAAGATCCATTTACTAAAACATTAAAGAAAATTGGGCACTTTCAAATTTCATAATACTCCCTTTTTATCTCTTGAACATGTTTTGCACGCATTGTTTTCTATTTCTTCCCAGGTGACTGTTATTGCTCTTTCCAAAGTGCCTTGTTACGGTATAATTTTACCGACAGAGAGAACACTATTCTTCTATAAACTTAACTACTGTAGTTAACGACATGTAGTTTTCTTATTTAGGAGCGACTACAATAGACAATACCGAGAACTCGCAGTTTTCCAAAGTTCCTTGAAATGAACAAACTCCAAAGTAAATTTCTCTCGGTATAACTTTCCAAACAGTCAGTCAGCAACTAACAACTACTATATAATAAGCTCAGTTATGCACGCATTCTGATTGGTTCTCACTTGTATCTATTGGAGGACAGACGTATCGATGACGTCATCATTAAAACTTTTTTAAATTCTTTATTATATAAAACAAATAGATTCCAAGTTGCCGTGCGTCTGTTCAGTAATAGATCACAGTGGAGGTCAAAATGTGGTAAGAACATCAGTGACACACCCGGCTGCGCCTCGTGTGCCACTTTTTTGTTCTTACCACATTTTGACGTCCTCTGTGATCTATTACTGAACAGACGCACGGCAACTTGGAATCTATTTGTTAACTGCACGACTGAGTCCTTTTTATACATTTACAGTATTCTAGAACATTCCGGAAGCCTACAACAAAACTATTTTGGTATTAATACATCATGAATACGTGACCCTAATATAGCGTTCTAGAAAGTTCCATAGTGTGCAAGTCAGCTTGATGAAGCATTCTAGAAATTTCTAAATATTTTATAGATATTGGTGTTGTTGCTACCGGAGCATCCGCGTAGCCAGCACTCATATTTTCGACGCATTTCCCTATTTTATGTGTTCTTCGTTCGTTGTTTCGCGTAAGAAAACAGCCTCTTAGGAGTTGCCTTATGTAAGAGCCATCGACTTGCTTTTATTTGGAGTTGTAACTCAACCCTTTCAGCGTACCAATGTAAAAAGTCGAATTTGCCGGTTTTTTTTTTAAACTTTGCATTTAGCCACTAGTCAACAATATAGTTATCGCATAATGAATCTGAAATACAGTCTGTGGAATAGTAAGCAAGAGCCCGTGTTTGAAAAAAATATCTTATTTTATCGAGCAAGCATCCAGGTAGATGGATCAATTTCAGTTGATTCGAAGTCATAAATGTTTGCCAAGTCACGCCGTGGAGAATCGTCAGGCTCAGTTGTGAGTTATCGATGTCCTCATCCGAAAGTCCGCACTAGAGAGTTAATGAGAACTTTGATTAGCTCTTTAACTATTTTGCATTGGACGGCTGAAAGCCCGTTTGATACTTGATTCCTTAATATGTACATGTAAACTACAGTGTTCACACTCCCGCCACTCGAAAAACTAAAACGGAATTGGAAAACGTCGCACGAAAGCCGGACTTAAATGGACCAGATACCAAGCAGTCAGTCTCAAACTTAGACTTACATTAGGTTTGTACGAGCTCTTCTTTAGAAAGAAGAAGTTTGTGGCGACCAGGCTGTGCTAAAAAAAAAAAAAAAATTTGTTGTTATCGGAATCATGGTGATTTTACATCGTGCATGAGTTGCAGTGTTGTTTGGTAATTTCCGTGCCAAAAGATGTACAAACAGTCTACAGTTTCTTTTCTTCGCCTCAGTAAGTGTAAAGACCCGGAAAGCCGTTCCGAGATACCTCCGTGGCTTAAGGAAAGTGCTCTTCAACGGAATTGAAATAACTTTTTCAATTCATGGAAATGAGGGAATGAGTCTCACTATGTTGAACTTCTAAAGGTTCTCTCGTTCTTTAGTAAGCTTTCGTCCGTTTTTCCTTTCGTTTCCTATTTATCTCATATACACACTGTTGTATAATTGGCGTATATATACCAGTTAACTTAAGCTGTTTTTTTTATTTTACTTACATGTTGTACCACTTCTTTAGGTTCGTATGATGGTCTTCTGCATTATATAAATTAAGTAAGCATCTCTCGCCCTATAGTGAGTTTTAGTCCGTAATTTTTGTTTCCATTCTCTACTTCTTGGTTGTATCATTTATACACGTAATAGTCTTGCTCACTATATCATTGTATTAGTTACCTGTACTCCATTTTCCCAGCGGTGCTTTTGCTACTTCCCTTTAATCATCTAATTCGTTTTGATTATTTGTCTGTCCATGTATTTAAACAGAATATACGAGCTTCAGACTGATGTTGATCCCTCCGACCCCCACATCGCTTTGCATTTTCAGTTCATTTTCAGTTTTCAGTTGACGTCAAAATACGTTTCATAACGTTTATCTTCGTTATTAGTTTCAGAACCTGAAATAAACGACACAAAGATTAGTCTGACCGATGACGTGGAATTTTTATGGGATGAAGTACCAGGAGCAAGTGAATATCTCCTCAGATTACCCGAAACTACCTCCTTCTGGGAGTATTCTCTCCTTGGAAATGGTTCCAAGACTTCTGTGGAGATTCCTTACAACAGTTTACCCTTTAAGAGTGCTACCGAAAAGAGTAAAAGGAGACCACTTGAAGTAGATATCGAAGTGTGGGCTTATGGCGACTCAAAGATCATTGGGAGCGGAAAGCGTTATACTAATGTGGGTATGTATAAAAGCTACACCAGTTTGTCATCATAAAGGAAGATATTATCCTTGTTTTACCGGGGTAAAAATTTATGTTTATGTTTAACCTCGATCCTTTACTGCCACGGATGTCTGAGAGTTTTCAAACATCAACTGCACTTCGTGTTAGAGGTTTGCAAAGATTTTCCTGTCTCAGTTTTATTAGGCGGGCGGGCGGTAATCGCTAATCTTCCTGAAGGTGGTTCGTATCAAGTGTATATATTTGTTTGCAAGTCATAGGGGCAATGACTAAAGGAGCAGATTAGTGATGAGAATAACGTAATGAACCTTTTAACAGCGGAGATTGAAGCAGAAATAGCCAGCAGAGCGAGCGTAGTTTTGGCGAGCGAGTGCTCAGCATTTTCTTAACGAAAATTAGGCCGGCCATCTTTGATTTTAATGGCAACGTAAGGCTGGGGAGAGAAAGAAATTTGTACTAAGGGGGCGGTCGACGGTCAAAAAGAAAGAGTGGGTGGGGGGTGGGGGAGTGAAGATTACGCCTGCCTGAAGTCATTGTTGTTTTGCAAAACTCCGTTCGCCCACCAACGGAGTTCCTGATTGGTGCAGTTAAGCTCCAGCCGTCAATCATATGCCAAATGTGTCTTTTGAGCGTCATTCTGACATTTCGTTCTGGTGGGAGAAAGAGGAAGATGGCGAACTTTGATAATGAAGTTCTTTGTTTCGATTCCGCTCCCGAGGAAACACTTAAGTGTCTTTCGGAATTTAACATGTCTCGTGCATTAAAATTGGGGAAAAAATGAAGCAATTTCTGCACTGGTTTATGACGGGAAACATTCGAGCTTAGTTGTCGTCTGTCCGCGTCACCGTATTGTTTATGGTCAAATGGAATAAGCATCTTCGATCGGATTAACGGTAGCTACGCTCACGGATTGTCATTTGGAGGATATAGAGTGCGGCAAAGATCAACTCGTATTTGCGTCAGCAGAGAACGTTTTGGTGAAGCCATTTTTTTTTCGTCGATGAAAAAAAAAAGCCAGACAGTTTCACCAGAGTATGCCGGTTTGCATCAAACAAAATATGGCGGGTAAACCGTCGAGTGCATTTGATTGTTCCTTCAAAGTATCGTTTACGATCAAATGAAAGTTGAAATTAGATTAACGGTAGCTGTACTCAAGGATTTTCGTTTGGAAAATATAGAGTGCAGCAAATATCAGCTCACAATTTTGACCGCGGAGGAGGTTTTGTCGAAGCCGTTCCTTTTTTCGGCTGAAAAAAAAAAGCCTCACCGTTTCACTCATCGGCTTTACGTGTGTTTGTTTTTGTCGGAAGACAGCGCTACAGGTTTTTAATTTAACTCTTTTTGATTGGTTACCTGCTCATTTCCGGAAGTGCAGTGTTCCAGATTTCAGTTTTAGCGCTCAAGAATTGAATGTACATTGAACCTCTTATCAGCTATATAAAAAGCTGCTGAACTTTGTGAAAACAGGGTAACACTTCAATTGTTGGACGGGGCAACAGTAAAGTTCATTATCACGCTTTAATAATAATTTTTTTAATAGTTGACCTCAGAAGTTTCCTCCATCTTTTACTTAAGTTGCCTCTCCTTCAAGCATATTGGTTTGTGGGATTCTGTCATGCCGCCTACTGCTATGTATATGATGATATTTTCCTAGATCTCAAAAGGCAATGGGATAATCTGCTTTATGAAGGATTTAAAACGCTGTGCGCGGACCAGAACAAAATCTCCGAGGGAATTACTTCAGTTGTTAATTGTACTGTCTTTTTTCAATCGGTATAAGGAAGCCACTGCATAGCCAATTTCGAACGCAGGAATGCTCCAATTATAATCAACGCGGAGCCCTGGTTCGTTGTTAGGTATAGCTACAACCCTGTTGTCACTTCCACCATTGAGGTCAGTGTCACTTTAGGACGATGCATGCAAATGAGGTTCCTGAATAAGACAAGGGGCATATCGGAATGATCGAGGATTGACAGCCGCATGTGACACGTCGTCACTCGTCTACTGAACACCTCGTTTGAAACCCGCACGCTTCCAAATGCGAAGGTTTTCTTCTCTTTGAAGTGGAGGACCGTGAACTGCCATAAAAGAAACGGCTGATAACATTGCCAATAAATTGATTCTGAAAACCTTTTTTAAGTAACTAATGACTCTTTTTAATTGCGTTGAATGCAGGCCTCCTTCCTCAGGCTTGGATAAATTCTTTGTACTCATTGACTGGTGGGATGAGTGGGATGGCCGGCCGAGAACATATTAGTCCGAGGTCGTACTATGCGAGCGTCATGATCGAGAGCCAAACATTTTTTTATCCAACTTTAGCTACTAAATGCTAATTGTAAAATCGGCCGAAGAAGAAGTTTTAGCTTACTTACACAGACTTAGCCGGGATCTGTTTGGATCAGCCTTTTCACTTAGGTTCTGTTTTTCTGTGTTGTATCAGGGAAAGAATTTATCTCAACAAAAATAAGTCTAAAAGTCTAAATCTACACGAGCTCCAGCTAACGAAGGTGCTTGCCGTAATCAGAATGAATCATCAGAACAAACAAGCGCACAATTTAGCGAAATGCAGCCTTCCTCAGTTTTTCTACAGCTTGTAAGGGTTAATCTGGTGTCATTTGCCCAACAGACAAGAGGAGCAAATTATTTAAAAAAAAATTTTTTTTTTTCCTTTGGAGAAAAGGAATATATTATTTACCAAATTTCTTTCTTTTTCCGCAGAAATTCGCGCGAGTGCAACAACTTCTACTGTTTCCTTGATGACACTCGGGTTATCGTTTTTGATTTACAACCTACAATAGTCGGTAAGTCTATTTTTTACTTTTAAGTAAATTGTACCGTTGCCCTTCTCTTTTCCGCAATTTGAAAGGGTTTTGTTCATGGTGTTCTTTCCTTGATTTTCCTTATGTTTTTGCGTCTTGAATTTTGTCGCGCATAAAGATGGCGCAAGGTTAGTCTGAAAAACTTAGACTCCTTTAACTGAGTTGTGTACAGATAGCGAGAAATAGTCTCATCTTGCATATTTTACTTGATATCACAACTAGTATTATAACTTAGCTAGCAGAGCCGCGCAATCAAATTCAGTATACGTAAGCGTGCTCAAAATCCCGATAGTGCACGCTGATAGCGTGAGCAAATCACTCCGCCAGAATTTTTTTTTTCGCGCGAGCGGCCATTGTTAGCGCGTGGAAAAATAACATATTTCGCTACAATAATGGATACAGAGACTCGGCCCACCAGTCCCAAAAGGAAGACAATTTCCGACCTCTTCCCTTGGGCTAGAGTTCTTAAATGAGACAGAAAAAGAGAAAAACAACGGAAAAGGAGACTCGGCATCAGCGCCGTCACGATTCGTTTCACTTCACTTAATATTTCGCTTACCGCGAACAATCACTTCTGATATTGTTGTCCGTTTTTCGCGTCGGATTTGATTCACAATTCCACCGGCTATGTTATAAAACAATTGGTTCATACTTTTAGCTGTGCACTATCGAGTTATGGAGCACGTGGGAAGTTTGGAGAGCACTCAAGAAGCTGGAGTTGCCCTCGGCTATTGCCTCGGGCAACTCTTACGTTTCTTTCGTGCTCTCCAAACTTCCCACGTGCTCCATAACTCGATAGTGCACGCTAAAGCATGAACCATTTGTTAATTAACAGGATCCATGAAGGGTCTATTTTCCACATTACAGAGCCCATATATTATGAGATCCTAAAAAAAAAAGAGTCCTCATGAAAGAAGCCGTATTATCAAGAAAAAAAGAAATCTTTTGAAATTTGCGAAGAAAGTCCTTTCGAAACGGAGAAAGCGAATTTACAATGGATTAAGCAAAATCCAAAAGTTCATCGGGAAAAACAGAAGGAAAAGAGAGCAAAGCAAGCTAGAGAAAAAGACACACTTACCTTCACGATTTCTTCGGCTCGGGTTTTCTAGCGCTTTTTCTCTTTTTGGCCGTGTGATGAAGACTCTTGTTTCTCAACGTCTTTCGAAATATGTTATAAATTACCTTTTGTTGTGCAGTGCAAGACGTGATTAAAAAAAATATGCAAATCGAAATCCCGGATGAAATCGCCAACGAAATCCCGTGGAAACGTCAGCACTCTGCAGGAGGCGTTTCCGATTATGACACCTTTCGCTCTTCAGTACAGGTTCCCAAAATCATTTCAGCCATATCTCGCGTTCTTTTTAATATTTAGCAATTCTTTTGCGGCTACTTTCTTTAACTAAAGAACATTTTGACCAGATTTTGTTGACAGTAACCGTGATGTATCAACTTCTCGCAATTCTAAATGAAAGGACGTGCGGGGGCTGACCGTACTTTACACCACCTTTAGATATTAACATAGATGATTAAAATCAAAGTTGAGCTACCATTTTACAAGAATAACTTTATCTGTTCTGGTCCATGTGAAAGATCTGGCTCTTGCTGATGTACAAGTTACGCTTTCTCAAAATTATCACCGTCGCATGTAATAGGCGCCTCTTAAACTGCGGATAAGGAGCAGTTGCCTGACTGGAAAATTGACTGCTCTCACTCAGAGCATAGGCCTGATTCCGCCTGAACCAGGTAGTTTAGATTGAGAACTGATCAGTTCCAGTTATTGACCACACGGTCCGTGTGGCCATTTCTGACCACAATTAATGGAATTAATTACTTTTTTCAAAGACCTAGTCTGGAATAGTGATAAACCATCTTAAATACAATCTCAACTTATTTAAGGCGTCAACGTAGCCAGGCACCGAAAGAAAATGACCCAACTTCTACTTTAAGCCATATAAACTCCCTTTTGCAGGCCATTATTCTAAGGTTGCACAGTTTACGTGAAGGGAACTACACAAACGCTAACTGATCTACATATCAAGGCCCAGTTGATTGAAGTCCGATCAGCGTTAACCCAGGGTTGAATTTTAATCTGTGTTTCTTTATTCACATCCTTAAAAGCCGGCCCAAATTACTACTTATTATATTAAGGTTAGAAACATGTTTGGGGTGAACGATTAGGGTGAAACCTAACGCCTCATTGATACATGAATCCGTGAGTTCCTTGTGTCAGACAAGGCCAAGAAAAATTTTAGGCCCTCTAAATCATCCAATCTTGTCATGGCTCGCGCTCTGCAACATCTCTCACGATTTTGGATTCTGCCGCCTTAAATTTTCAAGTAAAGACGAAAGAGGCCACCTATATTTTATTTGGTGGTATTTGAAAAATCACCGATAAATGGAAGCTTGTAATAACTTGTACCTTTAGTAAATTTACTTAACTTTGTATCTTTACTTTACTTAACTGTCGCCTCGAGGATTTTTGGCTTAAGTTTGTTTTAAAGCTTATTCTTTTTTTTTTTTTTTTTTTTCCAATTAGGTGAGAAGGAAAGGAATTCCTTTTAAGAGTCACTCGAAGGTGTTGAAAAACGCCATCTCAAACCAGACGTTTTGTGTTATTGATTTAAAAAATTATGTCAACTAATGTATTAATAAGTCTTTTTTTTATGTAAAGTGAGTGAAACTAATGGTGCGAATGCAAATATGCCAAACTACTCGATGGGCCGGGTTGAGTTGCACGAACGCAAGGAAAATCAGGTCTGGCGATTTTTTTTCTTAAGTTGCGGCTCGAGTAGTCCGGCATAATTGCTTTTCGTCAATGTCAAAAATTTGTGTTTAAAGTTAATTCATTAGAATTTTCATTAGTATGAATTGTTAGCTTCCTTTTAGTGAAACGCGACTTAATTAACCACTTCCAGTTTATCAGCTGATAAGATTAAGACCATATTATGGTTATATTTTAATTGTTTTCTGCTCCGAGGGATCACCACCTTATCGTGGTGGGGCAGTTTGCATGTCTCAATGACCCTTAGAGCTATGTCAGCTGGAGTCTTGCACTCCTGTTAGGGTCACCCTCACCGAACAGGTCGAAGGGTAGAGATTAGACGAAGAGTGATTCGCTGAAAGAGCTCTTTTTTTCGAAATTCTTAGTTTAAGTGTTGAGCCAGAACCCTCTGTCATCATAGTAAAGTGGATAGTCAATCAATATAAGTGATATATTTGATATCTTTGCGCTGTAGGTGGTAGGCTCTGAGCTAAGGAGATAGTGAGTTAGAAAGTAACTTTTTGCCTTTGTTAACTTTGGATCATGAAAGTTTTATTTGTAAAGGCGTTTTGGGTGTAAACCCTTATAGATTGAAACTTCTCGATGATTTTTTCCAAGAAAATTCAATTAATTAGGGGTTCAATTTAGTAGAGGCTTTCCCGTATTACAAATAAAACATTTTAATCTTAATGAAGGTGTTTGTTTTGTCTTAATCGCATGACAGATTGCAGAATATTACAAGGAGTTAATTTTCAGGAACTTTGCGAAAACGAAACCTGAGCGCTTTTTTTATGTATGGCCGAAGAATTTAGTGGAATTTATCTTCTCATCAGTAGGAGTAAGACCATTTTCAGCAAAGCGCTTGAAATTGCCGAAATTACTATTGATGTTTACTACCACCTAAACAGTAATTTCTTTCTTTGTGAATATTTAATTTCCATCAGGTTGGTGCCAGGTGGGTGTCGGTGTAGGAACACCATCAGACTGACATTTTAGTGTCACTGTCTGACCAACCCATAACATAAGAGATGAAGCGGTGGCCATCTTCAATTTTGGCGGGTCTAAGAATGAATAGGACATAAAGTCACAAATAATCAAAAAGTGGCGGCGGCACAGCCTAAGTTTATTTGAATAATTTCACGCATATCGCTGTTCCTATTTTTCCAACCTTTACGCACGTTGTTCAGACAAACGCAGGCTGCATTGTTAAGGAAACGACAATAGCTATTACCTTCCTATCCCGTGGCCAGCAGCTAACCTGACCCGAGCCTCTTCACCAGACTTACTAGTATAAATATCAAAATTACTTAATTACTATTGCATCTATGTTTTATTTCGCTTAGAGCAACTTCGGAAAAATTATGTGGAGCTATTCCCCGGATAACGGGCCCAACTTTGTATTAGAGTCAAAGGATCATTGTGATAAATGGTACTCGTAGTTTACCAAGCTTTAGTTACTCATCCCTAGAAGCAATTTGATTAAAAATTTAGCACAATTGCTTAGAACTTTTTGGCAATTTGTCCCCTAAAGAGCAGATGTAGTGAGTTTAATTCAGAGCTCCTCCCATCATGTAGCAACTAATAAACCAGCAATAAAATTAGTAGCATCATAATTTTGAAACGACTAGATTCACTTCGCAACAAGACCTTATCCCAAAAAAACAGAGACCATTCCCACAAATTGTTCAACGGGATTCACCTTAAAGGGCATGTAAACCCAAAAATACATGTTTTTCTCATACTATGTAAAAAGTGGCGTAGAGAACGAATCTGAAATTCGTTTTGTCCAATTCGACTTATTTTAGGAGAAAATCGGCATTTTCAACTGAAATTCCATTTCCGGTAAAAACAATAGCGAGAGTCGTGACGTAAGCGGTGGAACTAAAATATTGCGCAACACATATTCCCTAGTAGAACTGGTGTGGTAGCTCGTGTAAGTAGCGGTAGTTCGAAGATGTTTTTCAGAAGATAGTGACTCGAATGCCCTAAGCTTAGTATATGACGGCGATGGGGATGGTCTAGAATCTTTAGGAGAGTCTGGGCCACGTCCTTAACAATATGAGCTGCGTAGGGTTCACCGAAGCGATCCGCACGAACACAGTGTTGACAGCGATGCGACCTCCTCGGAAACTCAGACTGGTATCTAATTTACTGTGTGATTGACTTGTATTTGATATGAAAATCCAATAAAGCAAGGGCACAATCTAAAAGAATGCAACAGAAATTTTTTAAACCCGCTGAGCTTCCGAGGGTGTTTTATTTAAAATTGTCAAAGGTGCGAGTGTGGAACTTGTCAACCAATGCCGACAACTCGTGAAAGTGTTTGTTGTGCGGAAATCGGGCAATTGTGGCAAAAAGTAGAGGAGCGAGGGTCTGAAACCCAGATAAGTTGTATCACTGAGTATCCAGGTTTTTAGTCAATTTGCCTCGACTTCTGGGTGCTAGAGACGGCCTATTACACGTACAGGCAGCAGTAAGGCACAGAGAATCACACCGGAAACGAGTAAGCTAAATGTTTTCCGTTTCATTTGTTTCGTTACATTTTGAGATCGATTTGCTTGAGTTGTTTCTGTCATTGATTTAATAATACAGTACTACAGCTGCTGTTTATAGTTCCGAATAATTTGCTTCTGGTAGGGCCTGAATTGTCGGTACAACACCAGGAAGAAAAATGACTGCTACAAACAACAGAATGTTCGAACGGCTCGGCGAAATCGGCTATTTTCATTTGAACAAGTTTCACAAATTGTGGCTTCAAATTTGCGTCATTTGGAAATATTTGCGTTGTATGCCCAGTTTTGTTTGAATCAGTACAAAACTGGACGACACAACGCTTTACCATTATGAAAAAACTGAGTATATTGAAGCAAACTGTAAGTAAAAAAATCGTGACGAGACTGGCAAACAACGACTGTGGAAAAGACTCCGTGTCTTACGCGATTATTAAACGAAACTTTGTAGGTTCCACCCGTGACGTCACAAGAAAGATGGCGCCATTCAAAATGGCGAATGTTTCGAATTTGGAAGAGCTTTTTCAAAGTGAAAATGGACTTTTGAGAAAAAACGAATGGCACCTTTGGTGTACTTGATATATTTACTAAACATCTATGTGAAAAGAAAATGAACGTTTTTTGGGTTTACATGCCCTTTAAAGTTTAGGATAATAACAGAAGTTGCTATGCCACACCCACTATGTCAGACACATGTGAAAACCGTTTGTTTGCCATGATGGGGTACAGGACCAGACATGATTTCATACTGGGTCTGGAGAGACCAGGCAGAGATATTCACGCCACTAATCACCAAACTTTGGAATACCCAGAGCTGGCCATCGTCTTGGAAACGAACGAATATCGCCCCTCTACCCAAAGTGGAATTACCAAAATATAAAGGTGACTATCGCGGTATTAGCGTTACTCCTGTTATCGCCAGGGGGTTTGAGAAAACAATCTATCGCAGCCATGCTCAGGAGGCTATAGTTTAACATCTTTCTCCCACGCAGTTTGCTTACAGGAAAGGCGGCAATTGTACCGGTGCTCTTTCGGCCACACAGCACAGTATGAACGGCTACTTGGACAATCCGGATTGTAGAGAAGTACCAGTTTTACAATGGATTTCAACAAAGCTCTTGACTCTGTTAAAAACGATCTGCTTGCAGTTAAACTGAAAAAACTACTTTTAAATCCCTACATAGTTAACTGATACTTAAGTTTCTTAAAAGGCAGAAGGCAAAGAATTTGTTAAAACAAAATCTCTTGTGACCGGAGAAATGTAAACAAAGGAACTACTCAAGGGAGTATCAGGGGGCCATATCTTCTTCATGTTTTTCTTAATGACCTTGAAATCACCCTGGATTGCTTGAACGTGCTGTACAAGTATGCTGATGACTCGAGTATAGTTTCTCCAGTGTGAAAAACCGGAGACTGCTCTAGCGAATTAATAACACAGTTCTTTGACTGGACAGAACGCAATGAAATGTTATGCAATCCTATCAAATGTAAAGAGCTCACTATTCCCAAGAAAGGATACCAGGAATATTGTAACGACAGGATTTTTAGTCATCAAGTTTGTATGCTGGCGCTAAAAAAAATACATAAAATTCAACGTAGAAACTGCGAGATCTTGCTTAGTTCAGCATGCGTAAATGATACCGGTCTCAATACACTCAGCCGTAAACGGTTGTTATTAGATCATATCTGTAATTAGTGTTAAACTGTAACCGTCACCTGTCATAATCCTCTGCTTTTAGAAAGTAATTAATCTCTTAAGAGGGGAAATTCCTACTTAACCAATCGTTGTATTAGATTACGTGATCCTCTAGATAATTCATAGAATTACCTAATCTTTTGTACCTTAGGCTTAAATAGAGCTTTCTTTGGGAGGATAGTGAAAATAGTGAAAAAGGAAACCAGTCAGCTTGGTGGTGCTTACAGAATAAATCTACGTTGGAGCCAACTTTGTTGTCTTTAATCATTAGTCGGGCGACTGACTATAGGTTTACCCTCGGATTTCTCCGCAAAGCTCAGTCACATGCAATGGGGAAAACCGCAGACACGTAATAGAGGCGCAACCTTCTTTCCACCATGTCGAACATGGCGGATTTGTCGAATATCGTAGCGAATGGTGTCATCTTTTTTACGCTCAAGCATACAAACCTACACACCGTTCGCGGTAGACCCACTCTAAAAGACGGCTAGTGTAATAAGCGTATATTTCGAAACGGGTCGTTCCGCGAGCTCAAAATAGCAAAAGAATCAAATGATTAAGCGAAGGTCTCTTTTTTCACGATGAAATATACTTCCCTGCATGGCTATCTTTAAAATAGGGAACGGGGAATAGGGGAATGGGGAATGGAGAATGAGAAATCTTTAAAATGAGGAATTTTTAAAAGCGGAAATCTTTAAAAAGGGGAATCTTTAAAAGCAGGAATCTTTAAAATGGAGAATCTTTAAAAGCGGAAATCTTTAAAACGGGAAATCTTAAAAGCGGGAATCTTTAAAATGGAGAATCTTTAAAAGCGAGAGTCTTTGAAACAGGAAATCTATAAAAGCGGAAATCTTTAAAGCGGAAAATCTTAAATAACAATTTTTTGGCAGATGGCAGTGTCGCCCGATTATCATTTCTTTTATCAACCTGATAAAAAAAAAGTCAGTTGTCAGCCCTGTAAGCAATTATGATTGAATACTCTGATCTACATCGTTTTCCGGTATTATCTTCAGGGTTCAAAATATCAGCCGGCTGCCGTTTTAAAAGCTTTCTGGAAACATAAACAAGTAAAAAGTTTCGAAATTTGAAACGTGCTACAGGGAGTATTTTTGTTTACAGTATTCAGCTCTTACGTATTTGTTCAAGCGTGAAACATGCAAGTTTGTGTCCATACCGTCAATTTACCGTGTTTACGTTGCTACACGTATATACTACTTTTAATCAAGATTTATTTTCCGCCAAATCCTGTTTAATGTCGTTTGTATAGCCTTCTCACACGTTCAAATTAAAGTTGGTGCTGACAGTACGGATTTCCCATAACTGTAAATGATGAAGAGCGACAGTTTGTCTGGACAAAGTTGGCTATTTCACGCTTGAACAAACACCGAAAAATTGACCCGTTCTGACTACGCTTTGTTAGAAAGGGACTGAGGTGCTCATCACAGCTTTTACAGGTTAAAAAGGGCGGGTTTAGTACCTCTTGGGCTGTTCAGCCTCAAAAGGTCCACAGCAGCAGCCTCTGTGATACCTGTCAGGGTATTGCACCAAAAATATGAGACAGTGTGTTGTTGTAGAATTGGTGCCTCTCAGGGGTGAAAAAATTTTACGCCACGCCCTCAAACAAGGACCATGGTGCCTCTGTATTTCTTTTATAACCACTGCGCACCGTGAATGGTCAACACTTGTAACAGAAAGTCCACCTGTAGCCCGACTTACGATCTTAGATCGTCTTGTTGTCTCAAGGATTGTCAACAACTGTAATAGATACCGACCTTCCCGCAGCCAGCGAGTGTACTCTAAGGCTGAGACAAATAAACTACTCCAATGACGTGACAAGTGTTGAATCTCTTTATGTTCTGCGGCAATCAGCATACTTGGCTGCAACTGGCGCAGCTGGAGGGTTATATGGTTGTAACCTCGATTCTGTCAATGTTGAGCGACTCTTGCGGAATTCTTCAGATTCTTGTAAGGAAATCAAAAGGCTGTATGGTTATGAGGGCAACATTGTTTTCACCGACAACAAAGATCAAAAGGTTAAGACCTTTAATCCCTCAAGTGCAACAGTCGAGACCTTGGTGGGTACTGGCCATGAAGGAACCGTTGATGGAACTGAAGAAAGCTGCTCATGTACACAAGTTTATGTAATCTGTTCCTTGTAGAAAGTTTTTTTTGGTTCTGATATAAACTAGTTCTGATATAAACTAGTCAAACTAGTTTCGGGGCTTACTGGCACAATTTCCTTTCTTCGCAACCTAGGATGTCTCTATGATAGTTTTGGAATTGGTGCATATACCATTGACGCGGTCCAATTATCTCTTCAAGATGCAGTGTGCAATGTTTCACAGTCACTGAAGTAAGGCAGCACTATAAAATGAAAGAAACGGCAACAATAAGTGGCCCTGAAGGAACTGTTTCCAGCAAAACACAGGAGTCATTGGTGCTTCTCGAAAGAGGTATGGAACAGCTACGAGATAACGTTAAGAATGTAAACGAGGACTATCTTGGTGATATTGACCTGTGTACGCTGCTAACAACTCAGGTGGAGAACCTTCATTCGGTCTCCCACTTCAAAAACGAGACTTTCACTGCTCTTCAGTATGCTCAAGACTTTGGAACAATTTCAAAGGAATCTTTAAAGAGAACAACGAAGTGGGGTGCGAAGTACTTCACACTTGAGAAGTCTTATTATCCAGTGCCTAAATCCAGTGTGGAGTTACGGGACTTAGATTTGATGAAACCTCCTCCAGCTGGTAACGTTGATCCCAACATTGAGGCAGCCATGAAGGAATTGGTTGACAGGTATCGACCTGTCAGGCAAGGACGGTAAGAAGTGAATCAACAAAAGACAAAGCGGGAGCCCTGCCGCCAGCTGTATATTCCAGTACGCCATCGTGTACTAGAGTAACATTCCAAGAGGATGTTCAAGATGATCCAGGGACAGGCAATGAAGAACGAGTCGACCACGAGCTTCAAACGAAGTACCGAGAATCACCTTTGTTGACGAAAGCATGCTCGGAGTTGTCGCAGTTGGTGACGTGACAGACCTCCCCGATCAAGAGGATGAATTCGACGCCGACTCGGAGAGCGATGCGGATAAAGATACAGACATAACGTTCAGCAGATTTGGTCGCGCCACCCCCGCTCATTTCCGACTTGATCTCTAGAAACAATTGGGACAATCAGGACTATTCAGGTATGGAATATAATTAAATGTTTTTGGTCAGGATGGAGTGACATTTCTGTCATTTTTGTCGACCATCATACATTGTGAGTACTGTAGCCGATCTTATTGGTAAAAGAAATATTCTGTTATTGCATTCATTACTAGTCCAATTTAAACACTCATTTATGTTAACTATCATTTTCCTTGTAAACTTTTTTTTTACAGTGCAGATACACCAACTTCGACCATCTTACAAAGCTAACCAATCATACTGAGGTATTCATACAACGGATGACAATCCGTAAATTTGCTTAATTTTACTGTTTATTTCGATGTTCTATCCCATTGGCTGTTTGATTTGAATATCGTAATCTGATTTGTTACTGATATATTCTCTCTAAGTGGTCACGGTTGGTGTATCCTCGCTGTAAAAGCGCTTTAAGAATAGAACTGTTATGAATTATACAAGCCAAATCTGCGGTAGTCTTCAAATATCGTCGGTCATAAGTCTGTGCACATCTTTGGTAGTCTTAGTGGACATCTTCGGCAGTCTTTGCACATCTTTGGAAGTGTTCGAACATCTTCGGCAGCCTTCAGACATCTTCGACAGCTTTCGGGCATCTTCGGCATCTTTCGGATATCTTCCTCACTCTTCGGAGGTCTTGAAATAATCCCGAATTGTTGAAAAATGGCCAAAAAACCTCTTTGATACAATAAACATAGGCCCAACATAGATATTTCCCCTTTTACAGCGTGGTTTGTTTTTTTATAGGAAAAAAAAAATAATGTTACAACGAATTTTTTAATGTTAGTGTTAAAATGACTGGAAATTAACTGTTTAATGTTATATAGTAAAAAAAAATAAGTGTTTAGTGTTATTGAAGTATCCCCATTCAGACCCTCTTTCCTGACTGTTACTATCCCACACTCAAAGTCTCAGGAAACCTCTTTGATAGGGATGCAACCTTTCCGTTAACATCGAAATGCTGGACGTCGAAGTTTGAATAGATCTTCAGCGATATCATTTCCTTGGAAAGAGATTTCAACATCTGACTTCCGTTGGACTCATTCGTATTCGTATTTGACACTGGCAAGGGGAATTTTTTGGGGCTGTTGTCGGCAAAACAACGGAAATTGCCTTGGTCTCACTGTTTTCCATCAGCGAGCTTAATTGATAAATAGTAAGATTAGAGGAGTTTGGACAATTTCTGTAAAGGAACGTGACGTCTTGCACTTTTCACACAAGCGCTTTTCTTGAACTCTGACTGATTAGGTGCTAATCCGGGCGAAGCCCAGCTGCTACTACACAATATCCCATAAATAAGTTTAGGTTGTTAACCGCTAAACCAATTTTCACCAGACAAAGATAACTTTTCAATGCAAATGTTATAGATCATAACGTAAAGCGTGCAACAGCTTATATGAGCTTCCTCCAGACGCTTGCCGGTTTTGAAATGTCGCTCGCCTTGGACTGGAAGGCTTTCGAGACTCGAATAATCCTTTGGCCGGTCTGTTCTTTTTTTTTTTCGGCTAAATACTCGAGATAGACCTAACAAATATAGTATTTTGGAGGATAACATCTGTTTAGATCAAGCATCGTTTTTCTTTGCAATTATTGAAACCCGATGTGATTAGGCGTGCTTGGGGTAAATGGATTCTTCCCAATGGCAAAGGGTACAAGTTTCTTTTTGGTTTAGTATAGAGGCCTCCTATAGTTTGTTTCTTCTCTCAAACCTTTTTAACTGTAAGTATGTGTTCTGTGTGCCTTCCCGTAAAAATCAAGACGCGTTGGCTTAATTTTTCTTTTTGTAAGGAGGCGCCCTAGCAAGAAAATGATTTCCTGAGAACAGTTTTTTAATATTCTTCACCAGACTTTTTCCTTACCGAATAGGAAATCAACACAAGTAGGCGTTCCATTAACTCATCATAGTAATGGGAGAATCTTCAGCCCTTCTCTTTTCCCTTTCAAGACCAAAAATGGCATTACTTCTCGTCATGAGCCCGCGCTCCTACCCCGAAGACCGGACCAAAGAAAACGGCGGATCTTGAACTTATCATCATTGGTGGTCAAAGAGTATTTCTTACGGGACAGCTTTTCATTGTTGTTGCATGGATTTTTGTTTGAGGTAACAAGATGCATTCTTTCGTACAATTTCAAAACTTTGAAATGTCCCTCTCAATTAAAGAATCTGATGAAAAAAGAATAGTCACAACACAGTTTCATCATAGTAAAATATCCAAAACACAATACTCACAGATGACGACTAGAATAAGGTGGAAATCATCACATCCTTCATTGTTACCAGATTGACTGGTTTCTATCATCTTCCCTACTGATGTTTGTAAAGGTCAAGCTGGCGGTTTTTCTCGTAGATGTGAACACGGCTCCATTTCGCAGCCATTTCACGTCTAGTGTGGGTATTCCTCTTGAAGTGAAAGTTATATTCATAGATAACTCTTCGTTGTAACTTTTACCAGCAGATGGGTAATCAATTTTTGGTTTTTCTAATTAATGAAAAGACACAGGAACTAAATCTATCCAGGTGATTGAAACGATAAAACAACTTTACGAAAGAAAACAATTAGTTCAAATGTTTACACCCCGGTTCTGGATTTGTTCTCAGTTTCCCCTCAGTTTACACTAGCTGGTTCTTGGCTTTAAAATCTTCCTTAAAAACGATGCGGCTCACACAAATGATCAATAGCAACTAGTCCGTAACAATTGTTGTTGCTATAACATTCATAGGGCTCTAAGACCTCAGCCAAGATCTGTCTTATTACAGGCATCTGCACAACCACAATAATCCATTTAAACCATATTAATAGTCATCAGATTCGACCAGGTTTACTGCGTTGCTTATTCTACTCAAGGTAAAATCTTGGGGCACGGAAGAACTACCAAACAGTCTGTGGACGGTTACTTGGATTGAATTCAGCGTAGATGTCACCTGACCAGGATTTGTCCACTTATCCCAACTGCCTGTAAAACTTTCACTGTATGGTGAGATGGAACCATCAGGCTATATCTCTACAAGCCTGTTTCTATCCTGCTCTGTTATTGCATTAAGAGATATCGAGAAACCAAAAGTAAGGGATAAACACCTATCACCTTTGAAGGTTCAGGAAAAGTTGAGGGTAGAGCCAACTACTGCTGTTACATTCCCTCCAGTGTAACGGGAGATGAAATAAAAACCAGATGTGAAAAGGTAAAAAAAAGGTTTAAACCTTCACTTTTGGGCAAGTTAGATCTAGTACTCCTAACCCAACCCACCCTCCAAACGCTTGACACTTAAAAACTGTTCAGTGACACTGCTGGACACGGTCCTCGAATAATTCCATATTTCTCTCTGAAATATGCCAATTTTTCGTTGGAAAATATTCTACCTTCATTTACAATCGTCAACCGCTTCTAGAAAGTGAAAAAATTCCAACGTTGTCCGTTTCGCTGACCTTGGGGAGATCCAATCGTGACAGTACGACACGCGCAGGGTCACAAGAGGCAATTCACATAAGACTTCACCCTAACAACATCAACAGGGATAGTGGAATAGAAATTCCAGAAGCGTGGATGCCCACGATCAAAAAACACAACAACAAGAGAACCGTGCGACAGCGGACCGCCGAGGGAGCAAATCACTGATCAGCAAGGATCGAAATGCACCAATCAGAGTTGTTAAAAAACAACTTATCACAGCAGAGCATCGTGCTTTATAAGATCACACATGACCAGTCGACCTCATCGTCTGAAGAAGACTAGCAGTATGCAGTCGAAACGTCGCAAACTACATCACACGTGACTACATCGTGAGACAAACGAAAAACTTAGCTTTATTGTATTTTCTTTATTAAATTGAACCCAGGTTGCAAACTATTTATCTATCTATGCCTTAGCGTGAGAAAAAACCCAGATACGACACGACTTACCTCTTCTTCTTTCTCAGATCCTTTGTGGTTCGCTTCTCTTTGTTGATAACCTTTTTTCAGTCCGTTTTCTGGAGCTCTATGTATTTCCTTCTGACGTTGCTCTTCGCTAGATATTTGCCGTTTTACTTATGCCTTTTCTAGTTCTCTTTCGCGTTCCTCTCGCCGTATTCTGGCTATTTTAGCGTCCTTTCTTGCGCGTTTTTCTTGACTCGCCTTACGCTTTTCCCTTCATGCTTCCTTTGATTGCTCTGTCTCTTTCCTTCCAGCCTATTTTCACTCAAAACCCTCTCTCCACGAACTTGAATTATAACAATTTCCTCCGGTTGACAATTTGAATTTGAATCTTTTTCAAGTTTTGACGAATTTGTGTTTGGTTGAAAACGCAAACTAAGGGTTGCCCTTCCCAGAAAGGAAAGTTGTAGGCTGATTTATCTTAGTATTCAAGCCCATGTTGCTTAATTTGGCAACCACTGTATCTTGTGCAAGATATATCTCCTCTGTCCGAAGATTAAAAACTCGTTTTTGTGTAACAGAGTGTAACAGCTAGAGTGATTTATTAACCAAGCAGTGTTAAACAGTCAACAGTCGGCAACAAACAAAGTGCAGCTAAGGAGTTGAACACGGGGAAACCGAGAACAAATCCAGAAACTAGCAAGGTGGAGGGCTTGAAACTGGGAGCACTCATTTATACGAACCCAGCGGCCCTGACCACTTGGCCACACTGCCTCCACCAGATGCTT